ACTGCATACCTGTGATCCCAGCTATTCAGGAGGCTGAGGCAAGAGGATCACAAGCTTGGGCCCAATCTAGGCAATTTAGCAAGACTGTGTCAAAATAAAATTTCAAAAGGGCTAAGGTCGTATCTCAGAGGCAGAGCACTGGCTTAGCAGGTGGGAGACACTGGGTTCCATCCCCAGTAGTGGAAAAAATTAAAAATGAGACGTGTAACAAATCACCCTAGGTGACAGAGGACATGTCACATAAGAACAACAAAGAGCTAGGTATAATCCCAGCACTCCAGAGACTGAGGCAGGAGGACTGCTATGAATTCAAGACCAGCGTGAACAACACAGTCAGACCTTGTCGCACACAAAACAAAACAAAACCAACAAAAGAACGACAGAGAACTGACAGTACAAAGGATACCTCGCCAAACCTGGCAAGGACATGGTCTCCACTGAAAGGAAAATATATGAGACGGGAGCCAGACGGATGGGGGGGCTACGTGGGGACACACATGATTACACAGGCCAGCAGGAAAACAAGGCAGATGGGGCTCAGCGCTGGAGAACCCGCGGTGCCGAGTGAGTGCACAGTCTACACACAGGGCCACAAGTGCCACAGGTGTTTCCACGGCCCTGGAGGAGGGTGCAGAACCGGCGGGAGAGGCTTTCTGTTGCGTGTGCGTCTGCGCGCGTGTGTTCGTGTCCCCATGTGTGAGCTCTTCTCGCACACCTCTCCACGGGCACTGCACCCGTTAGGATGCAACCTGACTTCTTCCCTAATGAACTAGAAATGCAGAAAGAGGAAAAGGAGTCTGATTCAGCGGCTCACACCGAGAACTAGGGTTTCTCTAACAAAGGAGCCTGTGGTTTGCTTTAGACCTGGTCTGCAATCAGTGCCACCACCAGGAGGCACGCGCGGGTCGCGCTGCAGATGCTGCTACCGCCTCCTGCCCTGGACCCCCGCCCGGCTTCCAGGAGCCTCCCTCACCCCAGCTGACTTCGGGAACTGTCCCTTCCCTGCGCCGAGCAGCAACGGTAGTACAGCAGGGCCTGTGGCCTCAACTTTCATGAGGCTGAGGCAGGAGGATCTTGAAGTTCAGGCACTGCCCGGGCAATTTAGCCACTTGGAGAGACCCTGTCTTGGGGCGGGGGTGGTACTGGGGATGTACTTGAAAGGCCCTGCGTTCAATCCAGCCCCCCAAGAAAAGAAAGAATAAAAGGATTAAAGAAGGAGAGGGGCTGGGGAGATGGCTC